ATACAACTTCCAGGATAATCGGCGCATTTAAGAATGAGATTTACAGCATTAAAGCGTCGACGGGTTATTATTGTAAATGAAATAAACTGACAAGGGAGAAAAGAAAAAAGACAGAAATTTACTTGAAGAGAGCTAAATGTTTCTAAAACTTTTAATCACAATTTTAAATTGTTTAAAATTTGTAGAAAGTTTAAATTCAACTAATTTTTCACATATCCTTTTTTTATGAAAATAAACCATTTTTTTTTTATTTTTTCCATTCATTAAACCTTATAATCGTATCAAGCAGAAAAATAGAAATGCTAAGAATGTGACAACCGGTGAGAACCAAATGACTGTCGCACCACATCTGAAATTTTTGAATTGGGCAGAGTTTTGTTGTCTTTTTTTGTATTAGCAAATTGAGTAATTATCGGTTATGTTAATTACTTACGTTTGATTCTCAGGACATTTATTCTCGCAGATTTCTCCATAAAATGATTTCTTACAATTGCACCTGCAAGCAAAAACTATCAATTCTATTTTGTTTATCATTTTCTCAATAAAAAAACTTGAAAAAACATTTGGAGGATTTCTGAAGCTTACATGTGAGACTGATTTATGAATCACCAGTTAATTAAGAATTAAAATCAGTTTTAATGGTTAAGTTTGTAACGCCACATATTTTTTTAAACATTTTTCCAAGCTTCATCACTCCTTTCCCTAAAAGGACATTTGCAGAGAACAAATTCAGCATGAGATGCTAAAATGGCACATAAACAAAGGAAATAAAAAGATGGACCGAAAGTGAAATAATGTGCTGCATTCGCCTTTCAGCTGTAACGAATCTATGAAGGATCCGATCCAGAATGTCTTCAAATGGGTCTATAGAGAGGGAATCAGTACTGCAATAATTTTTAAAAAAAAGAAAAAGAAAAAAGTAATGCGAACCTTCCATCAACAATTTCACCGTCATTTCTACATTTGATAATCTTATCACAGTTGTCACCTTCATATTCATCAGCACAACGACATTTGTCACCAGCATTGCGCCATCTCCTTTCATACTCTTTAAAACGTTCATGATAACTTCGTCGTTAATTTAGTTATGATGGGAAGGTAACAAGCATAAATAAAGAATTGAAAAGGACGTTAATTTATTTATGTCATTTCTTCCATCTCTCTTTCTCTCTAACATATGTTTTAAATAAAAAACAAAACTTTTTTTATGTCTATTTTCAATAGAAAATAAAACTTTAATTGATAAATTGAATTATATACTAAATAATCTGAGAAAATGTGACAGGCAATATTCAGTTACCTTTCGGGGCCATTCTCCAACACGCAAGTCGTTCGCAATTCCGACCATCCCACGGGGCCCAACAAATGCATTCAATCTGTTTCGAGCCAATAGCGATCGTTCCATTATGTTGGCATGAATTCGGTGTACATCTAAACATTGTTTGTGCTTTTTTTTGAAAAAAAACTTCCTCTAATTTTTAGTCTGAACTCATAATTACGTGGAATGTTAAGGCTTGCGAATCACTGTCAATATAACATTTTTTCAGTTAAATTATTAGCTGTTTGTTTTTAATTATTCAAATAAGAATAGATATAGGAATCAAAGTACAAAGGATCTCTTTTGAAAAAAATGTTTAGAAAGAATTCCAATACCACAAAAAACTAAATTTAGTTGACTTTTTCGGAACTCTTATAAATTAAGTTTTATTGCCATATGTAGAACAATTTTGTCCTATGATGTCAGCAACTACTCTTCTAATTCAAAAAATCCAAAAATTTCTACCGCGATAAATTCTCTGAATTCATATAGAAGCGAAAAATGGAATCATCAAAAAACTAACGATATCACTTTCAAATTTTAATTAGCTGATAATGCTTTAGTTGATTCAAAAATTTATTTCGATTGTCACATAACTGGAGTTGAGATGATTTACGGATATAAAAATTAGCAATATGGATAAAAAACAAAACTTACACGCTATTGTACAGCGAGAAACCAATGGGACATCCGTAATATTCGTTGCAAATTGGTCCCTTCCATCCAGGCTTACATTCGCATTTGTTATTTTTTATTCTTCCATGCACTAAATATAAAATGTTTTCATTGAATGCTAAATGTATTTTTAGAATTTTAAACTTCCCTATGTGAATCCTTTCATAATGTTACGTGAAAATCGATGAATCACGTTAAAAATATACTCCAAGTATTATAAAGCATTTTTGAATCAATTCGTATTATGTACTTAGTTATAAAAGTAAAGAGCCCATTTAAATTTTGCACTGGGTAGAAAAAAAAACTCACTTCTCAAAGTACGACATTTGATTTCTTCATATTCGGAACTGAACTTTTCACCTCCGTCTTTACCTTCTGAATATTTATCACATTTTTCCAGGCTTCCATCTACAATTCCATAACCGTAGTAGGAATCCGGACTACAACCTTTCGGTATTAAATTAAGTGGGATTAAATCAATGTACGCGTCATCTTTATCCTTATGCCGTTGCTGGCATACAATCGCTGGCGATATTAGCATGCACATTGATAAGTGTATCGCTCCAAATTTCATCACTGAAATTAAAAAAATTATTTGTAAATATTTAACAGAAAAAAAGCCGAAGAAAAATTTGTAGATATTTGGCAAAAAAAACCCAAAGAAGTGCGTAATCGTAATAAAACAAAAGATAAACTTTATTATGGATATAAATTCTTATCAACTTAACTATGTCCGTTACGTCAAAAATTTATCATATTGTTCACTGTTATCCGTGAAAATTGCATTATCATTGATTGAATTATTATTTATTGGATGGTAAAAGAGCAAAACAAAAGGAAATATTTAACAACACGATACTTTTTTCTTTTTTAAAACAATTTGCAAATATATGAAAATATGGAAAATGGAACTTTACATTTATAAAGCAAATATAGTAAAAGGAAAATGTGACAACTTCAGTGGAAACTCAAAAAAAGCATTATATGCAAGAATCATTTCCTCTCCCCCACTTTCTTTCCTCCCTCTGTCTCTCTCTCTCTTTCTCTCTTTCGATGATGTTGATGAATTTTTAGGTTTGGAAAAGCATGAACGGATTTAGAAAGTAGGAGGAGGAAAAAAAGAAAGAATGAAGAAAAAAAATTTTATGAAAAAAAGCAACCAAAAAAGTTATTCAGAAACAAAGTAATATTACAAATAAGCTATTGAATTCATACTACCCAAATAATAAAAGAAATCTGCGAACAATATCTATAAACTGTTTAGTGACATATGAATAAATTCAAAGAGGAAATTTGTCTCGGGAAAGAGGAGATATGAATACTGACAAGGAAGAATGAATGGGTCAGTATGAGAAGATAAATTTAAACTATGATAGTGCATATAGCTATCTGATCATTAATTGCAGTAATTTGGTTTATTTTTCACTTACAACTTAGATTTCATCAAACGATTCTAATATTATCAGTGGATAAAATAGTGAAAATAGTTTATGGCATAACAAAAAAAAAAGAAAGAATTACCATTTAACAGTACTAGTGATAGTAAAATTGAAATGATTTATTCTAATAAATATACTCTATTAATTACGAGTAATTATGCTTCCTTATCATTTTTTTTTATTTTCAAACTGTTATTGATCAAAAAATTTTTATTTGAAATTGAATTAAATTTGTACAGTCTTATGAATTTTGTAAGAGGATTTTTCATATTTTTAGTAGTTCTGATGTCGGACCGAGCAATTCCCAAATGTTGTTGTACAGTTTTCATTCTTGGAATAATTTGCTTTCAATGAATAAAGTCTACTCTTTCCTGCAAGGTGTCAATTTTTTTCATAAATATTCCAAATATGAACTGACAGGAATATTTACATAATTGAAATGAATTAATGAAATATTCGATTTTGTTAATGAATACTTTGCTTTTCTGAATCTTTACCTTCAACAATGTTATGCTCTCTCGATTTATCTAGCGTTCAAGATAAGAGACTTTTAAGGTATTTATATTGCTCAAAGGGCAGGTTGCCGTGGAAATTGTTTCTGCGAACTTATTATCCTAAGTGAACGAGATTATTCCCAGCAGACTCTTGATTTTTCTGCAATCCAAGTCTAAATCTCTAAATTCAGGCTCATGAACTTATGTTTTTTCCTGTAGTCTTTGGTAATAGATTAGGGAACGGAAAGAAGTTTGCTTGCAGTATGCGATGCATGTTAAGAAAAAACTTCTGGATTAAATCGTTGAAGAGTAGAACATGTATTTAGATCCGAATGAATTGAACACACAAAATATGTTTAGTTCCTTGCTACTCGTTAATAATTTTAGTTCGAAATTTTTCAAAAATTTTTTTTTCTCTCGCTGAAATTTATTTCAAATTAAGAAGTGAGCGAATATAATCACATGGTTTGCATAAAATTGCAAAACGCAACTTTTAAAGAAAGCACATCCAATAATGGTTTTTTTTTCATTTGCTTAAGAGTTTAAAAAAGGACAAAAGCTTAATGTCAGTTATTGATTCTATCCAACCAATTCATGTATATTTGAGGTAAATTTGAGATTGCTTAATATCGTCCAATCTTCATGGGCAGAATTACAATCTTCGTTGTAGCAATCGTAATGCCTAATTCCTCCTCTTTATAGTTTACATATAAATTTGTTAATCTTGCTAAAATATCGATCCAATTCCCGTAATGTATACAGTTCAAATAATTTTTTCCCATCAAGATGAGGACATTTAATGCTGATCTTTAAGACAACTAACACTGATTTTTAATTTATTAAAAGAGGAGAAAAAATTTTTTGAAAATGACCAAAAGTAAAAAAAAAGATAGATAAACAAGTTGAGAGGAACAATTACAATAAACAAAATTACACTGAATTGATGTTTGATCAATGTTAAATGCTATGCTTTGAGGATATGCGTACACATATGAATGGACATTTCGTTGGTTTGAAGAGAATGCTTAGCAAAAGAAAATCAATGTCGAAATAGTTAGTATTCAATGTGAAAGAATGAAATAAATGAAATGGAAAGGAACTAACTTCGAACTAACTTCGTCATCACGGATAACATACATGTTGAACATGTCATAACAGACTTTTACTTTTCATTTCATTTTACTTCTTCGGAATGAAGCAAACCATTGTGTTTGAGAGCAAGAAGTGACAAGAAGAAATTAGGAATAGTGAATTTAAAGATAGAACGTGATTTAGTGAATTTAAAAATAGTACCGAGAGAGAAATTTGTTTTTTTCTTTTACGCTATGAATGTTTGCAGCTAAAATATCACGTTCTGAAGGGAAAATAGCTTCACGCTACTGTTCACATAATATAATAACTGTTAAGTAAAATTTTAATCGGAATAAAAGTAAAATTCTGAAATAATCATTCCTGAAAAGTTCTCCTTATCTTTCCATCCTTTTGTTATTCTTCCTCTTGTCATTAACATGTATATAGATTGAATCCTGTGACAGTCATATCCAAAATAGGGCCAGCATTGAAATATGAATTGACAGTTCATAGTTTCATATATTTTCCAGGTAAAACGGAATGCAGGTTGAAGTTAATGAGGTGGATCAATAAATTATCATTATACATTAGAGATCTTTAATCAACAGAATAACAATATCAGCAAGTTGATTGAGGAAGAAACTGATACTGAAGAATTCATACTGTCAGAAAATAAAATGACAAAATGCAAAGGTCATCTGAAAAAATGTGCGAAAATTTCTGGTTACTGTCCTTTGGACTTTTAAAAATACCTCAACAGTAAAAATATCATTTACATTTTTGTACTCTTTCCTTTTCGGTTTTCCCCGTTCCTCCTTCCGGAAGTTCGGTTTAAAGCCTTTTAATCGTCCTGTATTTCCTCCTTTTCCTTGTGTTCCAAGGATTCAAAATTCTTTCCCACATCCATTTCATCTCCTTTCGATCCCTTCCGCTTGTCCATATCCATCATTTAATCTTGTTCTTATCTCATTCCTCGAATGTCGGGAATGTTGATAAATCCCATGAGACATGACATTTTGTTTACTCTTCATTTAAAATGAGAGGTGTCTTAAAATATGAAGAAAATATGTCGTAATTTTTATGTTTTATGAATTTTTCTATCAGCACACATATCATTACTGGATGTAACAAATGTCGACAACAGCGCTTTCAATTGGAAAGAGAAGTTAATTAGGGTAAATCAAGAGGTCACATCAAGTTCGCTCCTTTCCTTGACGTTCCAAAAAGAAGTTATAGATTTTCTGATGCTCGAAGTACTGCCCTTAATCAAACTCACTCTTAGCAACTTCAGATAAACGATATTTATAAATGTCTGAACTTTACATCAAATTTCTCGCAAAGCCATTAAAGTAACCTTTCCCGACTTAAATCTACAAATCCTTCCTTAAAGTTAATGGGAAAAATTGGAGGAAAATGGATGAAGTCAATTATTAAGTGCACAAAATAGAATAAAAGTAACGATGTTTAACAAAAGAGTCTATCAAAAACATCATTATTGAAGATGTGAAGTCAAACTGAAATGATAGGATGCGGGAAATTGGGTAATGTGCAAACCATTCGATTTAATCACTAAATAATAATAATTCCCTAGACAATAAAACAAATATTTTAAATATACGAAGTGAATGAAGAGGGTAATGTCTTACTGGAAGGGTCAGCATTTAGTCTTGATGAGAGTTTAACTTAAGCATGATTGATTAGTTATTGCGTAGATGGCAGGCAAGTCTTCATATTACTTAGCAAAGACAAAATTAGATAAAACTCTTTTTGTTCCAGGCCATATATGTATTTGGTTCAATATATATGTTCACTGAACAAAAGTCCTAAGAGGATGGGACTGATTTTCAATGATAATTCTTGATCTATAATGTTCCATTGTTTTGAATATAAAGAATTACGAAATGATAAAAATGGTTTGAGATGAAAAGAAGTTTGAAATTCTTGAGAGCAGACGATTTAGCGTTGAGAGTATGGATGTACGAATTATTTCAGTCCTTTGCAAATATTTCATTAATTTCAATGAAAATTAATTATTTTAAATAACTACGAGAGTATCAGCAAATTGCGTAGTCATTAAAAAAGTTTTAATATTGCAGATGATATATTAATACTAATATTACAAATGACAAATATCAAATATTAATGGCTATTCTGGAAAAACTGAAAAGTATTCATGGAAAAATTTTCCTTGCAAATTAACACAAATATATGTCAATTTTATTATTTTATACACATATTCCCATCCTTAAATTTCCAACTGAGAACATCTTATCAGGTGGTTGAATATCCTATCATAGAAGCAATATGATAAGAAGATAATATCAGATACTAACTAATCAGAGACTGCTATATGATTCAACATGGACCAGGAAAAGCACTGAGCGACAATTCAATATCTGATAAATGATTATGTTCGGTATGTGAATGAGCTTAAAGTCCTATTATGTTTTGTGCAGGACAAACGAATAATTCTAGGAAGGAGAAATTTTGCAAATTCCTGAGTTCTATTTCAGCAAGAAATATATGTCGCTGCTATTTATCATTTCGTTCTTGATTGCTTCCATGCAAAA